CCCTCCTCTTGATGGATTCTCTCTGCTTCTACTGCTACCATGCATGTCCACTGGGTTCTGAATTTCAGGTTTTATTTCTTTTCCGAGGAGCTGGATTTTGGTCCCTGTTCAAATTTCCTGTTACTTTTTATAGTTTCCTATTTTCTGAAGATCTTTTCAAGCCTGTCATTTCTTTCTTTAAATATAATAAGCATAGTTAATTTTATCATCCGTGCCTGATCATTCTAACACTGTGAGTTGGTGCAGATTGACTTCTGTGGTTTGTGGCTGGTTCTGGCTCATGTTGTGTTGTTTCTATGTCTGCTAGGTTATCTTTGTGTGTGTGTTTTTTTAATAATTATCATTTTAAAAAATTTATTTGTTTTTGAGAGATTTTGAGAGACAGAGAGAGACACACACAGAGAGAGAAAACAAGCAGGGGAGGGGCAGAGAGAGAATGAGACACAGACTCCAAAGCAGGCTCCAGGCTCCGAGATGCCACGGCTCTGTCTCTGCTGACAGTTCAGAGCCCGACGCAGGCCCTGAACTCACAAACCATGAGATCATGTCCAGAGCAGACGTCAGACACCCAACCGAATGAGCCACCCGGGCGCCCCTGCGAGATTATCTTTGACTGTGTGCCGGTTACTGCCCTGAAAATTTTGGTTTGGGTTGATTCTTAGAGAACTGATAAATACACTCTCCTCCAGACAGGCGTTTCATTGCTTTTACCAGGCACCTGCTGCTCTAGCACATGAATCTGCCCCGGACCAAATGCAGGGTATGGGGTTTCCCAGCCCACACGGAGTCTGGATGCCCATGACGTAAATCCTTTCTGTGCCCACAGCTTGTCATGAGCTGTGGTTTTGTCCTTGTTCTTTTCCAGTCTTCTCGGTGCTAAGGGCACCTTACTTCTGGTTCACTTTTACCCTAAGGGTGTAGCTCTCCGGGGATCCACGTCAATGGGGGAAGGGTTCCCTATTACACTTTTCAACTGGGGTGGGTCCAGGTTTTAACTTCTACCCCTCTTGCCTGCCCCTCTCTGCTATAGAAGTCCCTGACTCCTGCCCCCAAATGGGCTTTATCAGGAGAATAATCAGACTACTCGACAGTACTAAGAGTTTAAGGAATAGAAACAAAAGAACAGGTTAATATGGGGGTCCCTTACAAAATGAAATGCTGAATTACAATTAGATTCAATAATGTGACTTCTGAGCAGGACCTGAATTGATGCTTGTAAACCTACGTTCACAGTGACCTCATTCACCACAATAGCCAAAAAGTCCACCAACAGATAAACACTAACAGATAAAACGTGGTACACACACACACACACAGATGAATATTATTCAGCCTAAAAAAGGAAGGAATTCGTGACACACATGAGAGCACAGAGGACTACTGAAGACGTTATGCTGAGTGAAATAAGCCAGACACAAAAGGACAAATTTTGTATGAATTTACTCATATGAGGTACCTGGTGGCGTCACAGGAAAAGAAATTCATAGAAAAAGAAAGTAGAATGGGCGCTAATGGGGGCCAGCTGGAGAAGAATGGGGAGTTAGTGTTGAATGGGGACAGAGGTCCAGCTGGGGAAGATGAAAAAGTTCCAGAGACAGACGATGGAGACGGCCGCAGGACAACATGAATGTACTTATTAACGCCACAAGCCCGCACCCTTAAAAATGGTTACAAAGGAAATTTTGTGTTATGTATATTTTACTGTGAGAAGAAAAGTTTTTTTAAGTTAGATTAGTTTTGGCAAAGGCTGCTAGACCCACTCAGTAAATTCCACAGGGTGTCATAATTTCAAATAGGCTTCATACTGATCAGTGGAAGACTCAGAAGTTAACTGCAGGTGTCATTAAATGAGTCTGACCTCTCTAGAGCTTTGGAGGCCACAGGATAAACCTTGATCAAGATGCAAAAACTAGCACTGCTCGCCAGCAAACATAGATATCATTACAGGCTTCCCTATAAAAAATGTAAACGCAATAAATTTTCCTTTAAAGGTATCAGGCATTGGATATAAGATATAGGATAACCTTATATCCTATAAGGTTAGTTACTTGGGTGTGGATCTTCAATACTGATGATACTGCTTAGCACATTTTAGGGGAAAAGATGGACGGGATAAGAGAAAGAATTCTCTTTTAACTATTTCCACTGAAAGAATAAAGAAATAAAGAAATACAGTATTTAACAATGCTGTACAACTGGACTTCTCCCTTCTGAGTCCCTATGTATATGGTTGACCCAACACAGGTTCGAACAGCACGACTTGACTTATTCATGGATTTTTGTCAATAAATACAGTGCAGTATCGTAAATGTACTTTCTCTTCCTTATGAGTTTAACATCTCTTCTCTAGCATACTTTATTGTAAGAATATAGCACATAATGTGTGTAACATACAAAATATGTGTTAACTGTTATCGGTAAGCCTCCTGGTCAACAGTAGGCTATTAGTTGTTAAGTTTTGGGGGGAGTCAAAAGTTATATGCAGGGGGCACCTGCGTGACTCAGTCAGTTAAGCATCTGACTTTGGCTCAGGTCATGATCTCACCGTGCACGAGATCGAGCCCTGAATCAGGCTCTCTGCCGTCCGCACAGAGCCCAGTTCGGATACTTGGATCCCCTTCTCTCTCTGCCCCTTCCCCGCTTGTGCTCTCTGTCTCCTTCAAAATAAGTAAATAAACTTAAAAAATTTATAAGCAGATTTCTGCCTACACAGCAGGTCAACACCCCTGACCTCTGCATTGTTCAAGAACCAACTATAATTGTGTTATAGATTATATACAACTAAATATAAATGGCGCATGAAGTAGATTTACACTTAACTTATTTTAAAAATGCCAAGTTTTAAAAACATGCATTTTAGTAATTATGGGAGTCTCTAAATTTCTTCTATTAAAAAAATACTTCGAGTTCAAGACAGAAGATTTTATGCACATTTCTGGGTATAAACACCAACACTAAGCAATGCCATAAAATAAGAAACTGGCAGCACTAGTAACATTCCTCTTTATGACTTCATGAGGAACATGTGCAGAGGGCCACCACTTTGCAAATACAAAAAGCTTACCCGCACATCTATATACGGTCATTCCAAACTAATAGCAGCATGAATGCTACGCACATAAAAAAGACGTCAAGAAAGCTGTCCCTGAATCGGGATGAGTGTTCCTACTTTAGACACACAGAAATGATAGCTAATACTTGCTCACAGCTTACTATGCTATAGTGCCAATATCGCACTAAGTGCCATGAATCTGTATCTGTGTATATATCTGCATCTACATCCTCTGTAACTAAACCTGTATCTGTATCTTTATTAATTCATTTACTCCTTCCAACAACCCTCTCAGGTATATACCATTAGCATTCCCATTTTGAAGATGGAAAAACTGAGGCAAAGGGGAGCTTGGGCTTCTCCAAGGTTGCATAGCTGGTGAGGGGTGGTCCAGGGAGGCAAATGCAGGCTCTAGGGTCCCCACTCTTAACCACCCCACTGCAGGGCCTCTCCACATAAATATGGACAGTCAGGAAAGATGGACAACATTAAACACCTCAGCTGTTCTATACAGTCTAATGTTGATAACCATGTTATCCACTCTTTTACGGGTGAGGAAACTGAGGCTCAACAAGACTAAATCTCTAAAGAGATCAAAGGCAGTTAGAGATGGAGGTGGAGTAAACGTGCACCTCCCTGTCTCCAAAGTCTCAGGGTCTAGTGCCAAACAAAGTCCCCTTGGAGCGAAGTCACACGAGAAGGTTGGTAAAGTAAAAAGCAAGGATGTGTCCCTTTCACAAGGCACAGAAACACAGGGTGGATGCTATCTGGCGGATGAGAATTCCAGGGCTGGGGAGAACAGGCACGTGATCACAGGGGAGCAGGGAGGTCCCTCAGATTTCTACTTCCTGAGATTCTAGAGCCCGTGGCTGCCTGTCCTCAGTCACCCTGTAGTTCTAGACGTCTGTCTAACCAGAACACCAGGTAGAGAAGGTAATGCTTCTCAAGCTGTACATCTCCGGTGACCCTCGCACAGAGGATCCTCATTTTAAAACTGGGTATGGATCAGAGGGATCCATTCTATATCCTTTCACAGCAAAAGAGCTAAGGGGAAAAGAATATGCCCTGATCACCAGTGTTTTGAGGGGTATTATACTTTGGTTTATAATAAAGGTATTGGCTTTATAAACTTGGTGCACATTTGCAGGATGAAGCACCCAGTAACAACTGCATTGGTCGGTCCTACGATCACTACCGTTTATTATCACTTACCTCTGGGCGAAGCACCATGAACAGGCAACATAGAATTCAAACCTCACAAAAAACGGCATCGGAACTTCGGGAGAATAGCAAGTACCTATGTTGGAATTGCTTGCTGTCCTTGTTAAATAATGAACATCCATTCTGGCTCTACTTAATCGGAATCTTTAGGGCAGGGCCAGTGGGTCAGTATTTCGAGAGTCATTCAAGTGATTCTCATCTTGGCATGGATAGCCCCACTTTCTGCACAAGGTACTAAGCAGTAAAGGGACTGCCAAAGACTAACATCACTAAATGTAGGATGTGAACTCAACCAGACTTTAGAAACTGGGCTCTTAACTGCTCTGGAGTTTCCAGCTTCCACCATCAAGCTTATGACTAGAAAAAAGGCACAAAGTCAGCAAGCCTGACTTCAACCCCCACGATGATCTACCAGCAGCAATCTGCCTACTGTCACACGATTTCCCAAGCTGATATTCTCTGTAAGCATACAGAGACAGTTCCTATTTTAAATGGAAAAAAAAAAAAATTAACGGTGCATTATACTTCTCCTATGCTCGTAATCATTCACTTCATTTTCACAAGATTTGGGTCGCTCTGAGTGATTTCAATGCCTCATCAAAAGGGACTGTTTGCAATAAAAGAGCAACCAAATCCCCATGGTAATTAGACAAATGTAGGCAACTGAAAGCAGAGGAAATGCACAAGTGACGACGGGAGGCAGAACCATAAAAGTAGAGATCCTTACCGCAAGAGGTTGACTTTCTGTCCACTAGGTTCATACGCCTGGTCTCCGTGCGGAGTTTCCCGTCTGTGTTCTCCACCAGGTTGGCGAGGTCATCGATTATCTCTAGAAAGGAAGACAGAGATGCATGGTTAAGACTCTAGAAATAGCCGGGCTTACATCAAAGTTTCACAGTGGAGGCCGGCCTCCCTACTAACAATTCTCTCACATGCCGTGATGGAAAAGGTAAGCGCTCATGTATGTTCTTTGGAAACTGCAGTCATGATTCATAAAAGGTGGTTGTGGTGGTGCAGGGCTAGGGGAGTTGTAGTAAAGGAAAAATCTGATTTAACACAAGTCGGGGACACAGAGGATGAATGACGGAAGTTCAGGGAAAGGAAAGCAGGACCCAGCAAAGGTATGCCCGGCCAAGGTGTCCTGCCAGCATAAAGTGGGCGGACGGACTACAGGAGAAAACTTATTTCTTATTATTGGTATTCTAATTATTTTCTTGCATGCTTTCGTTGATGGAAAGAGTATGACAGGGTCCTTCTCGAGAAAACCGCTTGATGACGAAATCTAGCCAACCAAGGGGAGAAAAGAAAGAAAGAACTCTAGGATGGAGAAGCCAGAGACCATGACCCAAGAGATGGTGTAGAGGGCCGGAGACATCTAAATAGTGAGCTGGGAATCAGCAGATACACAGATTATGTTACAAAAAGGTAGATAAATGTTGCAAACAGTGACGATGTCATTATAACCAAAATCAGGAAGCAGGTGGGAGGCTGGGTGGCGGGAGAAAGGTGGAAAGAATTTGAAGGTGTTAATTTCTCCATCATGCACAGCAGATTCCCATTTTGCTGCTGAAAAGCAAAACATATAGAGACCTATGGTTTTTCAAAATCACCAAAGCTTCAGCGTTTTATGTAACTTTTTTTGTTAACCTTAGATGGATCTTTTAGTAATTACCACATCTTGTAAAGAATCCTTTACATGAAGTTGAGCTTTTTTTTTTACTGTAATCTTCTTCTTTTAAAGTTTTTAAAAAATTTTTAATGTTTATTTATTTCTGAGAGACAGACAGAGAGACAGAGAGGGTGACACAGAATCCAAAGCAGGCTCCAGGCTCCGAGCTGTCAGCACAGATATGAGGCTCAAACCCACAAACCGTGAGATGGTGACCTGAGCCAAAGTTGGATGCTCAACCAAATGAGCCACCCAGGCGCCCCTAATCTTCTTTTAAAATTGAATTAGAGCTGATACTATGCTAATCTCCTTCAAGTGAAGTTAAGCTCTTTGTAACACTTAAAATAGCATATATAGCATGATCCTAATGATGCAAAATTATTTCTAGCCACACTTTCATACAGACAAACCGACAAGGATGTATCTGGATGATGTTAACCTAACGTGAAGAATGATTATTTCTAGGTGGTGGGATCCTGGGTGATCCCCTTTGTGTTTTCTGTACTGTCGGAATTTCTTGTAATGAAGCACATAGTACTTTTTCAATTTTGGTTCCCTTTCCTCCCTCCCCTTTTTTTTTTTTTTTTTTTCCTTTCAAGTGATTGCTTTAGAGGCCCACTGTCTGAGTCACCACTCCTGTTAAAGAATTAAATAGAACAAAGTAATGAGAGAAAGTTTCCAGAATGATGATGGAGATGTGTTTTAATTTTTGTTTATTTATCCCTTTAGAGAGAGAGAGAGAGGGAGAGAGCGAGCGAGAGCACTAGCGTGAGCAGGGGAGAGACAGAGAAAGAGGAGGGAAAAACTCAAGGAGGCTCCACACGCGCAGCACAGAGCCCAATGCAGGGCTTGATCTTACGAACCATGAGATCATGACCTGAGCCGAAATCAAGCGTTGGTCGCTCAACTGACTGAGCCCCCAGGTGCCTCTGGAGCTGAGTTTTTAAGGCCGTGTCCATAAAAAGCAAGAAAAGAGTGTTCCTCATGGGAAGAACAGCATGTGGAAGGCACAGAAGGGGAAAGCACAGGAGCTGCTTCTCCTGGGCTCCGTTATGTTTCAAATTCTAAATATTTGCTTGCCTGCCTTTCTTTTGTGGAAAGAATAGGACAGAGACTCACTTTCATTCACTGCTCTACCTGTGATGCCCAAGGGAGCGTCTAGTACACAGCCAGATAAAATAAATGCAAAGCGATAAAGTCAACGAATGGATGGAGTCTAAATGAGGGACGTGATTTCAAAGCACTTGGCTGCAACTTAGACCAGCAGGTCTAAGCCAAGTCTGTCAAATATCACCTGTATAAGGGCTGCTTAGAAAACTTTTCATTACCATTTAACAATGCATTTGTGGGGGTTTTTTGTTTTGTTTTGTTTTTAAGTTTATTATTTGAGAGAGAGGGAGGGTGGGGAGGGAGGCAGATGGAGAGGAAGGAAGGGAAGAAGAGAATCCCCTGCAAGTTCCGCACTGTGCACATGGTGCAGGGCCTGACGTGGGGCTCGAACTCATACACTGTGAGATCATGACCTGAGCCAAAACCAAGAGCTGGACTGGACACTCAACCAACTGTGCCACCCAGGCGCCCCAACAATGTACTCGTGACTCGCTATTCAGTGACATTCTCCCAGTTTTCCTTCCGTCTGTCTCCAAGCTCTGCATAGAGTGTCCTCTTCCTCTTAAATGCTGGCAGTCCCACCCTTCTGTGTATTTTCACTCTATAATATTACCATGGTGATTTTTCGTACCTTTCAGTTTCCTCGATATGCAAATTAAAAGCCTGAAAAATCTCTGCTCTATACAGCTCTCCAAAACCGCTGACTCCGGTAGCCAAGTGCCTACTGCTTATCTGTACCTTGAAATTCCTACAAATATCTGAGTCTCAGAGTCTCTCAACTAAACTCTTCACCTTCCCCTACGCCTGACCCCCTCCGGCATTCCCTGTTCCCATCAATGGCACCAGCGCTCACTTGCTGGCCCACGCTAGAAATCTTCAGAGTCACTCAGCCTCCCCCTCCCCCAGAAGTGTGCCACTTGAAGCCACTTGACCTGACCCTGCCTCCCGGGATCTCTGAATCCCATGCTCTCTCTTAAGCTCTGCCACTAATATCTCACAGAGTTGTGCCAGTGTTTCTAGAACATTCTCCAAACCTATCTTCCTATTTCTAGTTCTGCATCTTCTCAATCCATCCTCCGTGCTATAGCCAGGGATGCATTTCAGTTTTTTCACATTTTACCAATATATACGGATTTAAAAATACGGAGGGAGGGGCTCCCGGGTGACTTAGTCGGTTGAGCATCTGACTCTTGATTTTGGCTCAGGTCATGATCCTAGGGTCATGGGATCAAGCCCTGCATCGGGCTCCATGCGTGGTGGGTGCCAGGACAGAAGACCCCCAACCAAATAAGGAAGAAAAGGCACAAACTCCCGCATCCTTCCCCCTCCGCCCCAAGTGATGAATGTTCCACCCCCTGGGAAGAAATGTCAATAAAAAATAGAAACCCAACCCCCAGGGCTCATCAACTCTCACATCTCGAGAGTATATTTTTCACTTTAACAAGCTTTCCTGCTCATGTCACTTGCCCGTGTTGTGTGTCTGTCCTTGAATTCTTTCTCCCAACCAGACCAAGAACCTCTAGCAACAGCCATGGGATGGGCTGGGTTGAGGCCCCTGGGCCCTGGGTCTCCCCAGTCCACCCATCGACAGTTAGAAATAAATCTAACAAAAGGTGTGCAAGACTTGTAACACCGAAAGCTATAAACCACTGCTGGTTGAGAAATTAAAGAAACGGGAGAGCCATTCTGCATTCGTGGATTGAAAAGACTCAGTGTTTTAAAGGTACCTGTTGTCTCTCAATTGATCTATAGATTCAGTGTAGTCCCAGTCAAAATCCTGGCAGGTTTTTCACTCAGATGTGGAATTTAAGGAACAAAACAAATGAACAAAGGAAAAAAAGAGAGAGAGAGAGACAAAAGCCAAGAAACAGACTCTTAACTGTAGAGAAAATACTGATGGTTCCCAGAGGGGGAGGCAGGTGGGGGGGGTGGGGGAAACAGGTGATGGAGATCAATGAGGGCACTTACGTGCTGAGCACTATACTGTACACCTGAAACTAATATTACACTGCATGTGAACTACGCTGGAATTAAAATTTAAAAATTCATTCATTCATTCATTCAAAAAGTCCTAACATTTAAAAAAAAAAATTGGCAAGCCATGGTACATGGAAAAGCAAATAGTTTAGAATAGCCAAAATAATCTTGCCAATAAAAAAATGAGGTAATATACTACCAAAATCCCAGATTTACTATAAATCTATAGCAATCATGACTGCGTGGTACTGGCAGAAAGACAAACAGATCAATGGGATAGACCTGTTTGTATGTGTGCACATGGGCGTGTGTATCCTCAATTCCCAACAAAAGTATCAATAACAAAGTCAGTCGAATATGGAAAGAAAAGTCTTTTCAACAAATGATATTGAAACAACAGAGTACCTGTGTGAGGAAATGAAAATAATCCTGACTCCTCCCGCCATATGCAAAAAATTAATTTGAGGTGGTTCATAGATCTAACCTTTAACTCTAGAAGTGTAAAGCTTCTAGAAGAAAAAACCAGAACAATATGTTCATAACCTTGGGCAGGCAGAAATTTCTTGGATAGGACATGAAAAGAAAAGAAATGGGGCAACTGGAATTCATCAATCTGGGCGGTTCAGCTGATTGAGGATCGGACTCTTGATTTCAGCTGAGGTCATGATCTCACAGTGAATTTGTGGGATCGAACCCCAACATTGGGCTCTGTGCTGACAGTGCAGACACTGTTGGGGATTCTGTCTGTCTGTCTGTCTCTCTCTCTGTGCCCCACTCTTGCTCATTCTCTCTCTCTCAAAATAAATTTAAAAACTTTTTAAAAAATGTAAACCAAAAAAAGTTAAGCTGAAAATATTAGGATACTCTTAAGATTTTCCAGGAAGGCAGGCAGGCACACATTCTGGAAAGAGAGAATAACAAAATGGCAGAGCCGCAAGAGGTCATGTGACAAACCAGACTCCTCTCCTTTTCTCCTGCACTCTGACAGCAGGCTGATTAACATTTTGTGGAATGTTCCCAGCGGCTGGTAACGTGGAAACTCCTGAGCGAATCGCTTCCATGGCTGAGTCAGA